ATATTTTTATTATTTAATATTTTTTTATGTTGAATAAAAATTATATTAATATAAAAGATATTTTTTTACTCAATATAAGTTGGCGCTATCACTCTCTGAAGCTGAATCTGTGTAATTATATGCATCTGTTGTTTCATCCATGCTGTCTAAGTCAAGGAAATCCCATTTTTCTGCGCCTTTACGAAGTGGCCTCCTGTACAAGAGTTTGTTTGTCAAGCCAGCGCACATGCCAAATGTTTTGTGATAAAAAGTGAGATCATTATCAACATGTAAGGGCCACTTTCCTCCAATTACTCTCCAATATTGTTTGAGTCTGGAGAAGTAATTTTCCACAATTATTCTGCTGCTTGACAATTTTTTATTGAATGTCTTCTGCTCAGCAGTTAATTCGCTATTTTTTCTGCGCTTGTATGGAATTAATGCCCATGGAATAATTTGATGAATTCCTTGATAGCCAGAGTCTGCCAAAAGGACTGGTATTTGATCGATTTCTGCTTTCATCTTATCTGCTTCTGCTTTTAATTTGCTTATCAATGTGTTGGATTTCCTAAACAAATGAAAATCATGTCTCTTTCCTCTGATTGGTTTGGAATAATGTAAAAGAAATCCTTTTGGGCTTACAAAGCACTGAGTTTTGATGCAGCATATTTTATGTTTGCCTGAATAATATTTTTCTTGATTGGCACTTCTGGGTATCTCTTGAACTGTGGCATCAAGTGCTCCCAACATATAAGGATATTCTTTTGATTTTTCGCGATCATCCCATTTAATAAATGATCGCCATTTCACATATTCTCGGCCGATTTTAGAACCAATTGCATCGATCACATCAATGATAATTTGCCTTGTGTGTGTCTTTTTGATACCGAATTTATCGGCCAATTCTTCGAATCCAGGAGCGTGTTTAAGCCATGTTAATGTAATTAATAAACGTGCTTCCATTGAAACCCTAGTATTCTTATAATGATGTAATTCAATTGAAGGGATGAAAAGTCTTATAAGATCTCGAAAATCTTTGCACGTAAGATTTGTTAATTTAATTAATGTATTATTATCGTCATTGTGTAAAATTTCTTCTATTCTTATTTTAAGTGGTTCTTTTTGTTTTTTTGGAGGATCTGGAATTATTGGAGCGTCAGCAAAAGTGGCGATGTAATCGATTTCCCTTTGAGCAAAAAATGCTATTGGATCATCTGTATCTTGAAGTGGTTCAGGATTTGGTACGGGCGTGGTATTTTGATGTGGTGGATCAATTTGTACGGGCGTGGTATTTTGATGTGGTGAAATACTCTGTGCAGGCGCAGTATTCTGATGTGATGAATGACTTTGTACAGGCGTAGTACTTGGAGCTTGGGTCCTCTGTGATGCTGATTGAGCAGCTCTTTGGCTTGAGGACGAATGACCTTTTTTCTTATTCATAAATGAAGTCAAATGCTCTTTCTTGAAAATTTGAATTATTTTACAATTTTTCTAAAGATATATAAAATTTCAATAGGCATACAATATTTCAATAGACATATATGATTTCAATAGACCTATAAGAATTCAATTAACATATATTATTTCAGTAAGGTGGAGATTTGTTCAACTCATGTTCAATATTATAAAATATATATCATTGTGAATATAACACCTATAAAATATAAAATTATCAGATGATTTTAAATTAAATTGTAAGCAAATAGTTCGATATTCTAGAATGAAATGGCTGCCGATGACTTCTTGATAATGATTTCGCCTGTGATAAATCGATAAAACGCCATCGAAGCCATCGATATGCACTAGTTCTGGATGTAAAGTGGAAAATTATAGTATAACTTATATTGCTGATGACTCGTAAATGGACAAAATATATTTTATTCGAATGGATGTTAGTTTTTATGATATTTCTATTATACTATATATGTCAAATCATTGTATAATATATATATAAGATAAATAGCCCGAATTTTTTTTTATAAAAAAAGTGTTTTTTCAAATTTAATAATAAATATTTTATTCTGCTTATAAATCATATTGTCTTGTAATATTTGATAAAATTATCACTGAATTCTTAATTAGTTTTTTTAAAAATATCAATTTTGATTTATTGGACTTGAAAATATTTTATTTATATTATAAATCATATTATCATTTAGTGTTTATCAAAATTATGGTTCTTCGTTTTGTAGCTATATTTTGAATGACAATAGAAAAAAAAATACTAGAAACTAAATATGTATTTAATTTTATAAGTAAAAATTCACATAATGATAATATATTTGTGAAGTTTATTTGAAGAAACGATTTTTATTAATTCAATTTTCATTATAGCATTATTTAGGTGAAGTGCTCTCAAATTGTGAGCCAGACAAATGTTTAATGGCTGCAATAAAGGAACATAGCTCAGGTGCGTTTGCATTGAATATTTATCGTTTTGATTTCACAAAACATCGTTGCGTTTAATCAAAAATTTGATTAACTTAATAAATTTAAAGATTAAGCGATCTCATTTTAACACAATCGGTAAATTCAATACGTCTATGAAACAAAGCCATAATTTCTCGTAGTATAAAATATTTGATAAAATTTTATCGCTTACAGAGGTGGAATTAAAGGGTGAGAGATATATAGATAGACTATATATCTCTCACCCTTTAATTCCCTATACAAAGTTCGAAAACTTGGGTGCAATCAGATCTGATTGCACCCAAGTTTTCGAACTTCATGTAAAGAATTGCTTGCTATGATGTACTGATCATGAATCAGTACATCATAGCAAGCAATTCTTCATCTTAAATATATTTTTCTTAATCAATACATAACTTGTTCGCAATTTGGTTTTAGACGCTATATTTTAATCTAATTTCGATTTTTTATAAAATCGCGTACTTCTAATAAAACGCGATTTCAAAAACAATCGCGATTTTTTTCTGTTCGCAATTTTTCAGAAGTTCGCGATTTTATAAAAAATCGAAATTTTTCTTTGCGATCGAGATTTAAAAATTCGGTTGCGATTTTGCCTATTATAAAACATTTATTCCAAAAAGATTAAGTAATAGGTGGGATCCTGCATATAATATAATTTTATGTCATAAAGTTTACAAATTTTAGATGGACCACAGTGAGAATGTGAGTGGTTAATTTAAAGGTGGTCTGATAAAGAAATCGAAGCTTACTCAACACAGCATGAAGCAGTTTCTAATACACAATCTTACTAGTGGTGTTTCGGTCGCCAGCGCTCTCATAGGGGTGCTGATTTCAAAAACCACTACTTCAAATTATTCAACAATACTCAATGCAGCATGAAGCAGCTACTACTGCTGTATCTTACTGGTAGTGTTTTGGTCGTTGGCTCTTGCACAGTCTCTCAGATTTTCAAAATTTTTTTCAACACTATCTTGTTTCGCTCTCAGAAAGCTATCCTACAAAGACATCGAAGCTTACTCAACACAGCATGAAGCAGTTTCTAATACACAATCTTACTAGTGGTGTTTCGGTCGCCAGCGCTCTCATAGGGGTGCTGATTTCAAAAACCACTACTTCAAATTATTCAACAATACTCAATGCAGCATGAAGCAGCTACTACTGCTGTATCTTACTGGTAGTGTTTTGGTCGTTGGCTCTTGCACAGTCTCTCAGATTTTCAAAATTTTTTTTTTCAACACTATCTTGTTTCGCTCTCAGAAAGCTATCCTACAAAGACATCGAAGCTTACTCAACACAGCATGAAGCAGTTTCTAATACACAATCTTACTAGTGGTGTTTCGGTCGCCAGCGCTCTCATAGGGGTGCTGATTTCAAAAACCACTACTTCAAATTATTCAACAATACTCAATGCAGCATGAAGCAGCTACTACTGCTGTATCTTACTGGTAGTGTTTTGGTCGTTGGCTCTTGCACAGTCTCTCAGATTTTCAAAATTTTTTTTTCAACACTATCTTGTTTCGCTCTCAGAAAGCTATCCTACAAAGACATCGAAGCTTACTCAACACAGCATGAAGCAGTTTCTAATACACAATCTTACTAGTGGTGTTTCGGTCGCCAGCGCTCTCATAGGGGTGCTGATTTCAAAAACCACTACTTCAAATTATTCAACAATACTCAATGCAGCATGAAGCAGCTACTACTGCTGTATCTTACTGGTAGTGTTTTGGTCGTTGGCTCTTGCACAGTCTCTCAGATTTTCAAAATTTTTTTTTCAACACTATCTTGTTTCGCTCTCAGAAAGCTATCCTACAAAGACATCGAAGCTTACTCAACACAGCATGAAGCAGTTTCTAATACACAATCTTACTAGTGGTGTTTCGGTCGCCAGCGCTCTCATAGGGGTGCTGATTTCAAAAACCACTACTTCAAATTATTCAACAATACTCAATGCAGCATGAAGCAGCTACTACTGCTGTATCTTACTGGTAGTGTTTTGGTCGTTGGCTCTTGCACAGTCTCTCAGATTTTCAAAATTTTTTTTTCAACACTATCTTGTTTCGCTCTCAGAAAGCTATCCTACAAAGACATCGAAGCTTACTCAACACAGCATGAAGCAGTTTCTAATACACAATCTTACTAGTGGTGTTTCGGTCGCCAGCGCTCTCATAGGGGTGCTGATTTCAAAAACCACTACTTCAAATTATTCAACAATACTCAATGCAGCATGAAGCAGCTACTACTGCTGTATCTTACTGGTACTGTTCTTCGCTTCTTACTATCAACTCTAAAACTAGTTTGATGTATTATTTATTCATATATAAATATATACATATATAAAATATATACATATATAAATATATACATATATAAATATATACATATATACATATATAAATATATACATATATAAATATACATATATATAAATATACATATATATAAATATACATATATATAAATATACATTATATAAATATACATATATATAAATATACATATATATAAATATACATATATATAAATATACATATATATAAATATACATATATATAAATATACATATATATAAATATATAAATAACAAAATACAATCAAAAAATAGTGTTTGGAAATTTAAGGTTAAGTGTCACTTTTTCGTAAATTCTACCACACTCCTGTTTCGTAATATGTGGTGCATATGGTTGCTGTGTCTTTTGCAACTGAACGTCTTGAATTAATCTTCCATTATTTTCTTTACATTTCTCACAATGCTTTAAAAATCTTCTTTGGTTTTTCCTTTCTGGATCATCACGGATAGAATAAACTTCTTCTTTACAATATGGACAAACTTTATAGCCGGTGAGTGCTTCTACGTCTGTTATTCTGTCAGCGTGAAGTTTTCCACATGGACTCTGTGTTAATAAAATATTTACTGTTTCAAATTCTGGATCTATCATTATTGATTCCACTAATGGAAAGTCTACCTTATTTATGTCCACGTCTTCCGGTTGAGGATCACAATAATAGAAATCAATATTAACATTTAACATTCTCGCTAATCTCTCACTTTCTGATGAAATGTCAAACCCTTCATATGCATCTATTGCTTCATTTAAATAGCTTCTACGAGTTTTAGGATTAACACCATCAGGAATGTTATAGAAGCGTTTAAATAACCTTCTACCTTCTGCTCTAATTTGATTATCATTCATTTTAGCGGTTCCGTTTTTGTTCATTTATGTAAGAATAAAAAAAAAATTAAAAAATTAAAAAATAAAGTTTATTTTTTAAAGCCCATAAAATGAATTAAGAACACATAAATTTTTATCATCTGCGACGTGACGAATACATTTTAATTTACTCAAGAATGCGTACCCCGATACATTAAATCTAATTCCTGTCTTATTTAATTTCACAACTTTGAAAAGGAATGTATGAATAGCTATAAAATGATGAGAAGATGTTTTATGGGTTGCTTCCATTTTTTCTGAAATAAATGAATAAATATAATGCTTATACGTTTTCATATCTTTTATGTTCTTAATAACGAATGGTATAGACCTTTCCACTTCGTCTTCCTTCGGTGCTGTTCTTTCATATGAAACATTATTGGTATCTTCAACAATGAAACCACAATCACACAAAATTTTATAGGTTCCAATGGTTTCTTTTGATATTTTATCTAATAAATCAAAAACTTTATCAACACCTGTGCATTTATTTAAATAATAATTTGTGTAAATATCATGATCTTCTTTCTTAATCGTATTAGTTGCATATGTCACGTTTTTAAGAGCTTTTTTGAATTTCTCAGAATCGAGAGGGGGTGAAAGTAGGATACAGGGGTATTTTTCATTATCAATAAATTGTAACTTATGTTTATGAATAAATTTTGTACCTTCTTCAGAAAGTGTTTCGTCTATTTCACCATCTAATAAATTTTGTGTTGATTCTGAGACATAATTTTTATATCTTTCTTCATGAGATTTCTGAACTTCTGATTCTGAAGCTGGGATATTCATTAAACCCTCTACTTCATTTTCATTATATTTTTCAACTTCTCTTAATTCCTTAATTTTTTCATCTATTTCATCTCTTATTTTTTCCAGTCTTTCAATTTCAATTTCATCATATTCATCATCATCTTTAGTTAGTATCCCTAAGTTGTGTACGGAGGCACTGCGAGCCTCCTTACCCATTATATGTGAATCTGACACTTTACAAAACCATTAACGTATATTTTACAACACAAACGACAACACTAACTTAACATTAAATATTTACAAAGCCGCCAACCACTTCACTTCACTAACGTTTTCACAAACGACTTCACTAATGTAAAAATAAACGTTCTCACTTACAAAAGTATTGCAACTCCTCCCATTGCTGTGCTTCACATAACAGCTCATAATCTTCTGACTCACTTTCTTCTTCATATAGGTCAAAGTCACTGTCAAAATAAATGTTAGTAAGTTTTGACAAATGTAATGAAACACGTTTACCGTTTGTATCGTATGCTTGTATAAACTTTCCATTCTTCATTCCTTCATAAACGCTCAAACTAACTTTACCCTTTCTCCCTCGTATCTGATAGAATGTATTTTCACGAGGAACGAAGAACAAATTCTTGAACTCATGACCGTTGTAGTTTGTTATCTCAATAGTTTTCGTCATTTATATAAAAATAAAATAAAAATAAAATATAAAAATAAACTTAAAAATTAATGATATCACCACCCTCACACGTATGAAAACATAGCACAAAAATAAATTTAGGTGAAGTGGTGAGATCTCACCTCTTTTTTCACCTCTTTTCTCACCCTAGCCGCAAAGCGGCTCTGACCCTTTGGGTCTGTTGAATTCATTGCTTTATAACTCTCTTCCTTTCTCCAACTCTTCTAACTTCTTCCTAAGTTCAGCAATGTTGTCCTCATGAAGTTTAATCTTCCTTAATATACCTTCTCTATCTAATGGTTGCTTTATCTTTCTAAACTGAACTCTACCATCCTTCATAGTATGAACGTAAAAACCTTCTGGAATAATTCCTGATTTAATGTATTCTACCAAAAACTTTTGTTTCATTGCTTCAGTGACTTTAGTCGTCATTTCAATCAAATAAAAATGTTCAAATAAAATAAAAATAACGTTATTTTTTCAGTAAGGAAACGCAGGAGTTTTACGATTTATTTGAGGCGTAGGTTCTGGTTTAAATGTTGGAGTCGGTTTAGGAGTTGACTTTTGAACAGGAGTTTGTACTTCCATAGGTTCAGGAGTCATTGAAGGTTTTGCTTGTGAAGGCGTTGGTGTTGACGTTGGTTTTGACGAAGGTGTTGGAGTTTGTTTAACTTCAGCTACTTCAGTATTATTTATAACATTTGCTTTATTTCTTTTCAACATCATAACTGCTCCTGCTGTAGCTAGCAAACCTAGTGGGAGACCATATTTTATATAAGGACTTGACCAAATGCTATTTTTGACAGGAGCTGGTGGAACACCTAACCTTGGTGAAACTGCTCTTTGCCATTGTGCAGCTCGTAAGAAATATTCAATAGGTGCTCCATAATCGTTTGGTAAAGTTTGTTTCACAGATGGTGAAGGTTCACGAGAGCTTGATGAAGAACTCATTTATAAGCTTTAAAAATAAACGTTCATCCTTTATTCCTCACTGTCGTCAGTTGCTAAGTTATAGTCGTCAATCTTATTATTGGTATGCCTGACTGTCACTTGATTGCAAAGCAACAATCCCTCATAAATCCAATAAGTGGCTTTGGTACATTTTCAGTTGCTAGTTCAATAGGTCCTTTAACAGACAATTTGTATGTTATTGGAGCAGTAGATGTTTGACCTTGCTGGAAGCAAAAGTCCACTTCTGTTGGAAAACCACATAAGAAATGTGTGTTGTCATAGCTATCCCATTTATGTTCCACACTACCATCATCCACCAATGACCTCATAACATCTTCATTAAATCCTATCATATCATTGTTTGTATTGCAAGCGTTCGCAACCATTTCATAAAATACAGGTCCATATGATTTTTCAGGTTCTGCAGGCATATTTCCATAAGCTCCCATGGAAAGCTGAAGATATTTAAACTTAGGGTTCTCAAAATTAACATAATAGTTGTCTTTCTTTCTAAATAGTGCCCAAATACTTTTAACATTAATAGGCGTATAAGCTGCTGTAAATGTTGCACTTGAACTATCTGTATTCTTTGAGAATGAACCGTCCATAGGAATCCAATCCATAACTTTAACAGGAAAACATAAAGCCTCGTTTGTATAATGTTCTACAAGTTCTGTATAAATGTTAGGGTCTAAAGAGAATGACTTTGGATGAATGAAACATTCATTAAAATCCATCTTTGTTCGAAATAGTTGCTGGGTTACAGTTGTAATAGTAACTGTTCCACTAGCTTCTACTGCCTTCGTTATCATAGTGAATGGTTCATTCCATGGAACAAATTTATTTGTCGGTGGATTTGAATCTGAAGCAAATGCAACTTTAAGAGTTGGATTGAAAGCAATGATATCATTTACAGATATAGATGTGCATTGTAAGGCGTCGCTACTGAACTTTACTTTAAGCTGAATGTTTCCTGCAAAAGCTGGAATAAATCGAATAGCTTCTAATGGAAGGAATCTTCTAACAGGAATTCTTAAACGAAGCTTAAAATCAAATGATTTTCCTGCTGTAATTGGACCACTAACAATTTGTCCTGTTCTGCATGTTCCCGAATGACTCCATACATCTTCATGTCGAGTCTTTGAGAAAACATCTACTTTCTTTATTTGTTCGGTAGTTTGTGAGTTTGAAGTTATATATGCTTCTTCTCTTGCGTTGTCTTGAGAATATACGATACGACCATTTGCAAGGATTTGATATCCAGCAACTGCATAGAAAGCGTCATCGAAACCAATCCAAAATCCTGGTGGGTTTGTTTTATTGGAACCTGAACCAATTTCTTTATCTACAATAAATTGACCTTCCATTTTATACGTAATGAATGTATTGTAAAGGTCCAACATATTTTCACCAGGAGGTGAGAGATTGAATGTTACCCATGTGTTATCTTTAGCAGTTCCAGGTTGTGATGGAATCTTTGCGTCAGAATATTTTCTATTAGTGTCACCAATTTGAACTGCATTGTCTATGATATCGAAATATGAGCGAATCTGATGAATATGCTCTGCTGGAGTAAATTCGTTTAACTGTTCGTTCTGCATGTATTTACTTCAGATAAAAATATCTATTTACTTCATTATTCTCACTCTTCTTCTTGGCATTCGTGGTGGAAGTTGTTTCTTGACATTTTCAATGAACTGTACATTCTCTTTTGTCTCAACTTCTTTCACTGGCGGGTCAGGGTTCTTTGACTCGGTTTGTTTTTCAATGAAATTCACGAACTTTGCAATAAGCTCTTGGTTCGTTATTGAAAGTACATCTGGCTTCTTTTCTTGTTCTATTGACTTTTCAGTTTGAACAGAAGGTTTTATATGGGCTTCGTGGACTTCACCCTTGCCATGCACCTTAATGTTGTCGCTCTCTGCATTCGCTAATGGAACCTTTCTTTTTCTTACATATATTTTACCATCTTTACTCTGACTTACGTAATAGAAAGGATGTTGTATTCCTCTTGCGTCATTTAATATAATAGACTCTCGTCTGATTTTGACAAGCTCATTTTACATCGGTTAAAGTTTTAATTTAGTTTTTTATCTGCAGTCAAATGACTCAGACAAGCCCTACGGACAAGACCCAAGGGGTCATAGATGTTGAAGCATTGAAGAAAGAAATTCGTGAGCAAATTTTATCCGAACTGAAGGAACAAAAACAAGAACAAAAGCCAGAGAGACCAAAGAGAAAACTTAGTGAAAAACAACTAGCTGCATTAGCTGCTGGAAGACAAAGAACCCACGTTTGCTGGCGAAAAAGCTAGAGAAGAAGCAAAAGCAAAGAAGCTGAAGCAAAGAAAGAGTAAATGGTTTATTTTTATCCAAACTAAATGTATAGACAAATACCTTTATCTGTTGCGTTCAGTAGTGAAAACCCTGACGTCAAAATAAAGGGGAACAGAGTAACGTTTAAGTTTCCAACAGACTGGATTGTGAACATAAATGAAGAGAAGTACATTGGCATAACATCTATGTATATAACACGTGCTTTCAGAAAGGTTGACTTTATACTTCAAGTCGAGATAGAAAATGACGAACAGTCTTTAAGCGCCCAAAACATT